TTTAAAAAATATTTAAATCGCCTACATTCCTTTTTATCATAAAATTATTAATATATGCAATTATAGCAAGACAAAATATAAACTATTTATTGCATATATTTAAAATATATAATTTTACGAATTTGGAAAGAGACCACGGGTGCACGCAGTTTATCGTGCTTCTTACTCACTGCAAATTTCTCTGTTTTTTTTTGTTTGTTCTTTCTAACATATCCCGACGAATCTAATCGATCATTCACTCTCCCGAACGCATGTACTTTTGTGTGTCGTGTTTTCTCTTCCCTATAATTTCGGCAAACTAACCATCTCCATTACCTATCGTCACCTCTCATTTGCCATCCTAGAAACTTCCAACAGCGAGACTTATGAAAGATCCTGTTATTACGAGACCGTGGAAAGTACGAGAGATCAATCCTCCCGTTCTAATTCCGTAAAAGCACGTCGGAGTCTCGTTTGGCCACCTCCAAAACCTATCGAGGATATCACATATCCCACTGCCAGTCCTTTATATATTAATCCAAATCCCGTTGATAAAAGGTGTTACCAGATTAAAGAGAAGCGTGCCAGCATTGAGGCTTGCGAGCGTGCTTTGAGTCGTAGAACCGAGAGATATCGAAGTGAAAGCATAGATCGGGAAGTAGAAAAAGTGTTGACAAATAGCGGTCTTCGACACGAAATTGACGCGATGGACCGGGTGAGTTGTCCTGGACAACCGGTATATCGACGTGTCGAGCTGGTGGACACCAGCAGTAGAACTTCCCGATCAGATATGACAACTTCGAGACCAAGTTCGACCGACAGTGTTCGAAGATCATTGACGCCTACCAGAATCGTTCAACCGATTCCAAAACCATGGACCGCGACTGTCAGCGGCGGAGGCACGAATCTCTACGAACAGAGTTATGCGACACAGCAGCAACAGCCTGCAGGACAGATTTACAAGAAATTCATGCAGCGGGAAGTTTGTCATCGAGAACGTACAGGCGGCAGGGAACATCGAGAGGAACGAGCTTACAGAGCGGAGATCTGTCGAAAGGAGCAAACAATCTGCCCGAAACCGCCCTTACCTATACCTAAACAGGAACAACCCGCAGAGGTGGTCAAAGAAATCGACACTGAAGTTACCAATCTGAGAAGTGACGAGACGGATGAAGCGGAAATTTCGAAAGGTATTCAAGGTGAACATGATCTCATCACCGAGACAACTGAAGAGACGATGGATGGTATGCACACGAAGCAATCAGCGACTTTCGAAAAGACTGTGGAACGAGTGTCATCACCGATGGAGAGATCTAGCACGCCGAAGATAGAGGAGGAGGAAGACAAAATAGAATCTGAATGTTTTGTAAGAAGAACCGAGAAACATATCAACCGAGAAGTGGAGGACACGATGGAACGAACTGTGGAGAAGTCAGCCGAGACGGTTACGTCGGCCATCGACGCCCAGCAAATGTTGGAAAAGGCAAAACAAGAGGAAGAGGAAAGAAAGAAAGAAGAAGAAGAGGAAGAACGAAGAAAGGAAGAAGAAGAGAGGAAGAAGCGTGAGGAAGAAGAACGTAAACATCAACAAGAAGAAGAAGAACGGAGGAAACGAGAAGAGGAGGAGAAAGCGAAGAAACATGTGACTTTCAATGAAGAAGATGAAGAAGTCGAAGAAATACGAGAGCAACCATTAGGAAGAACTGTTGTGCGAGAAGAACGTATCACGGAATCGGAAGGATCCACTCCTGGACGTTCCAAAATCACAAAAGAAACATACGAAGAAATTACCGAAGAAGTGTTAGTCCATGAACGCGTAAAAAGAAAAGCGGCTATAGAAGACGAACGTAGAAAGAGCTTGCGTGAGCAAGTAGAAGTTCACCAAAGTCTTCGGGACCAACAGGCGCCAGAGAAACGAAATGTTGTCGCGAGATATGGACAGCAGTCTCAGGAAACCATGGAGACATGTAAGAAGAAGGTACAGTTCTTGAAAGAAACGGAGACCGGCCCAAAACCTTTATCGGACACACCTGTAAAAAATTCTACGCCCAAGGAGTGGAAGTCTGAAATGGTGAATGCCTTGACGACTGTATCCGATCGACCATACACGCCGTTGAACGCTACCTCCAGTGTAAAAGAACTTTATACCGAAGAGACCATTTATCTGGACCATAGATGTCGGCCCAAGCCACCGCCGCCCAAAGAAGAAATCCGACCAATCTCACCTTTTCAGCAAGCATTAACGATAGCACCCGAACGACCTTACACTCCTTTAAGTCGTGAAATTGGGCCAGAGGATCAACAGATTGTCAGATCAGAGACTCCGAATCTTCAAGTTCAAAACGGCGATTATTGTCCGCCGTTAAATATTTTATATGGCAAAGAAAGTACAATGAAAGAATCTTACGCGCGAGAGCAAATGTATGTTAAGAAGGAAATCAAAGAATCGAGACCACGACCTTTGCCCACTCCGCCGCCTGATCATCGTCTGAGAGATTCTTCCGCGTCACCTGCCGCAAAATCTCGAGCAAAAATATTCAAATCGTCCAAATCTTTCACGGCAGGTTTGAAAAAGCCGGACGCTATACCTGCCTATCAAAGAAACTTGGTGGCAATGAAGAAGGGACCTGTAGAAGGTCAGCCGTTTGTTCCTAGCAGAACACCTACTCCAACGCCTGGCAGATCAAAGTCACCTGCTCAAGGCCCGCCTGAACCACCGGCTTGTTACGTAAAGGCTCAAGCTCCAAGAGTTCGAGAGAATCCACCACCATCCAAACGCGGATCGGTGCATTTTCCTTCACGCAAGACAATCTCCTACCACGTGGAGGAAGATACCGATAGCGGTCACAGAAAACAAGAATACTCTGCTTCGAGGATTGTCAATTATGATGAGAAAGAAACTAGTCTCGATGTGGATCCGACGGACGCACTTTATGCCCAATTTCAAGAAACACGGAGTATGACAAGTGAGGAGACCAGCGAGCAGCAGAATACGGCGACTCACGTGAAAAAAGCGCTTCAAGTATTCGAAGACTATGAGAAATGTGAGCGGAAAGAGATACCACCGCCAACACCACCACAAAGTCCGAAACCAAGTATCTGTGCTATTAATAAAGCAAGCAACACGAAGCCTACTTTATCATGTCCTATGACATCATCTGTGCCGGCCAGACAGCCAACTTACTGCAGTTCTACCGAAGTGCGTCACGTGCGATATGAGACTCCTTCACCGCGACCTTGTCCGGAAACAGGGGTAACCGTTCTACCCTGCAAAGCGCATTCCGATCAGGGTGTCAAGGCTGGCGTTGTCGTGGTGCCCTGCGATGGCCAGATTACGTGTCCTAAATCTGGAATCTGCGTAACAGCCACAAAAGATCGATCGGGTGTGTGCGTGTCACCTTCATTCGGGATGCGACCCGGCACCTGCGGTCAACCGTCAGGCACCTGCGGTCGCGAATTCGGCTGCGGCTTCAATATCTCGAACTGTCAAGATTCTGACATTTGTGTGGCCCCGTGCGTCGACGGTTCCGTCTGTGTGGCACCTTGCAAAAAATCCGGTCCAAATCAGTCTAAAGCAAATCTTCCCTTTCCTCAAATCCCACTTCCTTACGACGAAATTCCCCCGCCAACTCCTCAACCTCCTAAGCCTCGCACTAATCTGAGCGGCCAGCTTGCGCGATTGACCGCCAAAAACGGCCAATCAAATGTGCCTGTAATACAACTTTACAAGCCGATCCAAGTTCAGACCCAAGTTCAGACTCCTCAGACCCAGAGTTACACCGAGAACACTTATTATCACACCCAGAGCTATCGCGAAACCCACTGCGATTCCGGCAATCATTGCCAAAGCATTCAGAATCACTGTCAGGACCAGATCCATTGTGATCCCCCTAGTAAGATCCAGAGTTTAGTAGACCCAAATTTGTCGTCCTACCCGGATTTAGGTAGCGGAATCGGTGGCCTCAGCAGCGCTGGTTCTAAGAGCGGATCGTTCGCTGGTAGCAGCGCACCTAAACGTGGACGGGGTATCCTGAATCAAGCTGTCGGAGCAGGATCACGTATTCCTATGTGTGCTCATTGCAACTCATACGTCAGGTACTCGAGGCTACGATTGTCCAAATCAATAATAATGATGATGATGATGATGACGATGATGATGATGATGATGATGATGATGATGATGCTTGTTATTTTTGCTGTTGCTCCTCGTTGGACGTGTTTGTTTTGCTTTCTATAAACATTTTTCTTCTTTGTTGGCATTCGTTTTGATGTATGTTCATGTGTGCATGTGAATCTATTCTTGTCTTTAGGTACTGTTTTTTTTCTTCCCGATTCTGATCTTAAATTATTCGGAAAATTTCAACTTTTTTTATAAAATTTAATTTTATTGTACCAGAGATTTATATATTTTCTAGAATATTGAGTTAAAAATTATAATTTTGTTTTCAGGTATTTTACAAAATACTTGCACTCTGTGTTGTAATTCTAATTCGCCACAGTTACACAATCATTTTCTGATTTTTAGTGATTTATTAATTTATATGATTATAGATATATAAGCTTGCATACAATATTTTTTGTTATATTTATGCTTGAGAATTTATGTTTTTGCTTATCAGAGTGATATACAAAAATTTATTTCATTTAATAAATAATAATTGTCTAATTTGATTAACAATTGATTTCCATTGCACGTTGTTGACAGCTAACCAAGAAAATATTAATCACAAATCAAACGGCTTCAGTCTAAAACCAGTGTGCTGTAAAGACAATGACAAAGAATGCATAAGGTTTGTATAAAACTCCTTTACAAATAAATGTCCATTAACAATTGTGTTTTTTGAAAGATATAGCGTATTATTCAGCAAACATTGTAAAATATCAATAAATTATAGTTTGCTTGCTATCTAAAGTTAGCTTAAAAGCTAAATCATTTTTATAAGAATAATAATATCTAATATAGCCTCCGTCGTGTGCAATGATAATCACCAAATTAATTATAACAATATAATTATAGAGGGCCTTTCATCACTGCTTTGGGTCAAATCTGGTGCCCCGATCACTTCGTCTGTGTTAATGCCCAATGTCGTCGTCCTCTTCAAGATATCGGCTTTGTCGAGGAAAAAGGACAACTCTATTGCGAATACTGTTTCGAAAGATTCATTGCGCCTACGTGCAACAAATGCAACAGCAAAATCAAAGGGGTGAGTATATATTAGCAATTTATCGATAGCAATCGCGATGATTCAATACATTAATAGTTTTTTCACCACGTAACAGGATTGCTTAAATGCGATTGGAAAACACTTCCACCCTGAATGTTTCAACTGCGCTTATTGCGGCAAGCTCTTCGGTAACAGTCCGTTTTTCCTGGAGGAAGGATTGCCTTACTGCGAAGCTGGTTAGTTTTTCCACGGTTAAACAAAATACATAAGTTATATTAATATCAAAATTTGCCTTTTTTGTCTTTAATGATATTAAATAAGACAAAAATATGTTCTAAATGTGAAATAACTTGAGATCTTTTTATTTCATTGTTCAATTAAATATAAAAAAATGGCAATTTATTATTCAGTTAAATATAAAAAATATTAAATAACGAATTTTTTCTTAATACAGACTGGAACGAGCTGTTCACCACGAAATGCTTCGCATGTGGATTCCCAGTCGAGGCTGGTGATCGTTGGGTAGAGGCCCTAAACAACAACTATCACAGCCAGTGCTTCAATTGCACGGTAAAAATTTACGGAAAAATTTATTTATTTGTCAGGATTATTTTTAGTTTGTGCATTTTATTTATTTTTTTTTAAACTTTACGACAATCATAATATTTCGAGATCTGTAGTCATAAATCGAGGCAGATTTAATATCGGAATTTATTTCTTTTGTTAACATATTAGATGTGTAAGAAGAATCTTGAAGGTCAAAGCTTCTATGCGAAAGGCGGTCGTCCTTTCTGCAAAAATCATGCACGTTAAATTATCTGTTCTCGACCATCGCGTAATCGATGAGACGACAGGAAGGGAAAATAGGAAGAGTGAAGAAATGGAGAGAAAAATCCAACTAAGAGAGAAGCGTACAGCGTTAATGCACCAATTACTCTATCGCGATTACTTTTTTTTTCTGTATCTTCGACGAAGAACATTTCACTAACTCTTTTGTCAAATCCGCAAGCGATCCTTTGTATAGCTATGAAAATATGGATCAATTAGGGTGATTTTGACAAAGAAACATCTCTTTGAGTCTTTGATAATAAATTATAATATTATGAAAAGAGAGAGAGTGATAGTTAGATATATTATAAAATGATATAAAAAAATAAAAATAAAATTTTGAAGAGTGATGACTCTTAATGATATTAAATAACATGATATTATATGTTTTTCCAGCGTCACCAATCACCCTGATTAATTCTATGCAATATTTTCACAAGGTGTTATCGTGCATGTCCGACTATAAGAAAAAGAGAAAATTATTAAATAATATTTATTATCTAGCTTATTTGAGAAAACTATCAGCCGCCTCAAAAGAGTTCAACGGAGACACAAATTTTCATTTCCAATTTATAAAACTTAATAATTTATTAATCTTTTATCTATAAGTACTAAACATCAAAAGAAGTTACATTGATATATACTTTCTTTTTAATTAAATGTTACTTGGAAAGTGCGTTTGATGTGTCATAAATTTATATATCACAGTTATAGTTTGCGCTAAAAATTCATTTGTGCTCTTTAGATTAGAATTAAATGATCAGAACGCAGTTTTATTTTCGATTTTTCGATGATTCCGTTTTTGCGAATATTGAGCCATCATCGATCATATCGATTTTGTGCATCGACGTCAATGTCGACTGCAAACGAGTGGCGCAATTAATTACGTCAGGGGCGTTTGGTGACGTATCCTTGCACTTTGCGATTCCCGTTTAATAATAGAAGATCTAATCGCGATCTTAGCGGGGCAAACGGAATACCTCGTAAAATCGTTCGCGGCAAGAAATATTGGAGACGATACAACACACAACAAACGAGCCGCTAGCGGAGTCGTCTCGATCGCAGATCACGCAAAGGTCACCCGAGCAATTAGTATTACGTGGGTTATCGCATTAATTTCGTATTTCCAAGGGATGCAGCGAACGATAGCAAATGTCTCGAGTGGCAAATAGCGTTTCTGCACTCGATGATCAACGACGGTGGCGTATCGTGACGAGAGAAAGAAAGAGAGAAAGGCAGCGTGATCGAGGAAGAATAGATGAATGATTGCGAAAGTCAGATTGAAAGTATAGAATAACGAGTAAATGAGTTGAACAAACGTAAAGATGAAAATGATCATGATAGTTTCTGAACAATCAAAATTGCATGCGAATGCAAACGCATTAGATTTTTAAACATGAAGAAATTCAAACAATTTATCAATTTTATCTCACTGATGCACTCGTGTTTGTTTTAGAGATTTAGTCTTTCTACTATCCAAGTTTGTTATCAATATTCTTGAAACGTTCCAACAAATATATAAACTTTATTATATGTTTATTATATCTAAACTTTATTATATATCTATCCTAAGACGATTACGAGCACAAGATTTCTTGTAAAAAATTATATAAATATTATGTAAAATGATATTATTTTTTATCCTTGATAGTAGAAGGATTAATCTAGAGTTTCAAAATCATTATAATCGATAAGAAAACATTATAATATTAATACTTGAAATTTGATCCATCAATAAACGTTGCTCGAAAATATGCTAGTCAAATGCTCAAAATTTCGCTCTTAAAATCATAAATTTACATAATGATAACAAACTATTCTTAATTTATAGATGAAAGAAATGTACACGGAAGTAGCGGATAATTATTATTATTAATTTATGAGAAAGAGCCACTCTGGCATATTATGTGCATGTAGGTCGTTAAGAAATATTTGCCGAAGATAGTTAATAGCTTTACTAAATCGATGACGAGCAGCAGACATATATTCTTAATGCATGCAAACTTCACCGTAAGTCATTCGCGAATCCGCCGTACCCTGGAATCAGCCGATTAAAGCCGAGACTGATAACAGGTTCAACATGCATCCAGCCTTTCATTTAATCAGTCGATCGATTCGGAAGTTGGAAAAACGAAAGGCTAAAATTCGCACGGTAGGAACGACCTGCCGTGCTCTCGCTGACAATTCTTAACCCTTTAAATTCTTAACTATCATTTCAACATCAGTCTTTTATTAGAGAAAATTTTCAAATAAAAATATAATTATAATTTTTGTTAAAATTACTGTTAAAAATAAATTCATATTAAATAAATCATATTAAATAATTCTCTAAATTCTCGAAAACATGTGACTTTAAAATATTTACAATGACCAAAATTCATAATTTTTAAACATTTTTCAACTTTTTTCACCTTTGAAGCCTATAAAATACATTTAAATTTATAATTTGTCAGTAAAAAAAAGCGTTATTGTATTATAATTGAATTTCTAGATTTAATTGATTATAGCGTAAATTTTCAGCGAAAGAACCGACTTTTCTAGGATACGAAGATACGCGACAATGAAACTGTTGTTTTCGGCTCTATTCTACACTAAATAAAAAGCTCTAACAAAACAACTATTGCCTTTATTATTACGTTACTTCTAGTATGTTACCATCTGTGCCATCTGCGCCATTATTGTATAATTTTTTTTGCGAATGAGAGCGAATAAGAAAAAGAGAAAGAAAGAGCACGTACGCGAGATACTTTGGCAAAACTCATTTATATATTTGAAGGTAATATATAATATAATCCTGTAATTAAATAGTACGTAAGTATTTTAAATCGCATTCGCGATAATTCCGAAAAAGAAAAGAAAAAAGTTTAGCGTGCAAGGAACTTGACTTTATCTATGCGATAGCGAGATTTATCTTCGATAACGGACGATCGATCGATCATCGCCGCTCGATTATTAATAAACATAACGGTGCGGACCACAAAATCTCAATTTTTGGTTGGCTAACTATCGGCTGAGCATTGCACAGGCCTCTATATGCGTGTTACGTGTTGCTTATAAAATAAAATAAAATATTCACTCGAGAGTTTCGGCTTTCTTATTTCCTACCCTCCTTGCCTTGCAAATATTAAAGTATTTGCAAATCATTGACAATTTATCGGAAATTTATTTGTTAAGAACTTCAGAGAAATCTTTATACATTTAAATATTGTAAAAATTGTTTTAAATTTATCTTATTATATAATATTTTTTCATTTTATATTTGTTATATATTTATATTTAATAAAGTAAATGGCTAAATTTATCAAAAATAGAAAAAAATTTATTTCAAAAGTGACATTTATAAATGCTAATTTTTTATTTAAAGCTTTCGAATAATTCTTAAAATAATATAGATTTCCACAATTTATAGAAAATTGCTCATTTTCTTTTCATTTTTACATACACAAAAATTCTTATCTGCTTTCCTCCCTCTCTCTCTCTCT